AGGAAAGGGCCACAGACAGACTAAAGAGGTTTAGTGATATTGAGTAACAAATCGATTTTCGATGATGCCTGAAAAGGTTTCATTAATATTCTACCAACAGATAGAAAGGAAATTTAGCAAGGAAGAGTGCTTTTATATTTCTGGTGTGCCCCACTAATTATTTTTCTTTTTGTTTCATTAGAAATTTGTAGAAGATCTGTTAGAGAGAGCCAAGACTCTTTGAAGAGTGCTGTGTGGTGCCATCTCTAGGGAGAAAAGGAGATCACTTCTTGGGGGAAAAAGGGTGGTGCTGATGCCAACCCTGTTGATCCATCCATCCATCCGGAGAAGTCCATATGATGCTCCAGAAACCAGTGTATGGTTTGTTAGCTAGGTCATGAAATGAGTGTTCTCATTCATTCATTCATTCATCAATCAATGATTCATCAGCAAGTTTACTACTTTATTATGAAGTTTCCATGTATGTTGTCCGCAAAGAAACCGAGGACGTCGGATGAATGTCGGTAGGCTTTCTGTTGTAGTAATAAGAAATGCATTTGTTTACTGAGTGTTTTATTATAAAGTATTTTACATTTAGTTTATGGGCAATTTACTATGAAACTTGAAATTTGTAATGAATATGACATTTCAAAGGAAATGTTATTTCAGGGCATGTAACGTTAATTGAAGGTTCAGCGTGGAATAGTATGGAAGCTCATCAGATCTATGGTGAAAGTATGTACTTTCACTAATTGAAAAGCTGAGGTAACGTAATTAATATTTGAATCTTTGTGTCCACCTTCTGTTGCGGAAAAAGAAATTTAAACAAAAAAGAGAAGAAGCCGTTATCGCTGCCATCGTAATCAACATTTGTGTTTATAATAATGAATGGATATTATTAGTATGTCGTGTGGTGTGGGTAATGTGACATGTTCATTAGCTAGTCGTAAATCACCAAGCTATAGAAATTTTTTTTATGTATTTTTAATAGTTCGTGTATTGTTAACATGGTTACATTTCTGTAATATTTCAGGGCAGTCCACTGAAGGAAAAAAAAGATACATGTGAAATTTTATTTCCTTGTAATTTTTTTATACCGTACGTAAGTTATCGAGTAAGATTTCACTTAAAGACATTTATGTCTGTTGGCAAGATGTGCAGTAGTTTCTACCTTTTGACACTCAAAACAAAAATTCATAGCAACATTTTAAAATCTGAGTAGTGAACAAGATCCTTGAAGTCTTGGTCTTCCGTAGAAACAGAACTGCCACATTAGGAAACGTAAAAATTTGTTTTAAATTTCAATGTACAGGTTCATTGCTGTTTTTAAGGTGACGCTGTTGGCATAACATTTATTTAATAATGCCAACTCCAGTGTTACATGCTAAATAAGAACATATTTTACGATTTGAGGCTTTCACGGCGGTGAGTACAAAGATGGCTGTCTTCCGGGTTGCTGCGCCATGTAGTCTGGTAGAAGTTTACCGAAGTCCTCCATCATCAGGGCGCAGCAACCCGGAAGACAGCCATCTTTAAACACTAAGAACAGGTGCATGTGGCGATATCCCACGTGAGCAAAAGTAGTGGTACCACTGTAATTTACAAAGCTTTGGTGGATGAACTGTTTTCTTGTAGGATGTTTAGGTAATAAGAATGTGAAGTTGTTTTTAATCCTGTGGAGTCCATTCTGTTGTATAAAGCATTAGAATTCATTTTATTTACCATATTTTTGATTTATTTATTCCTTATCAGTCACCATCCTCACTAGTAACAATATAACAGTTATAAGTCTGCCCTGCGTTGCGATGTTGGATTTTATGAAAGATTTGAACTTTACTATTTCAGGTTATTATACCAATTGTATAATTACTATCTTTATTATCGATGATTTTAGCTTATCACTAATGAATTTTTGTATTTTATACTTGCATCTTATTCCTATAAAAGTAACTGCCAACGTATGTTGTGTTACATATTTTAGTTTTTAATCGTATGTTTTCTTGTTTTCTATTCGTGATTTCTGTGGATTGCTATTTTTTAAGCTTGACCTCAGTTTTCAGATCATCACTTCCTCTCATCTCGGGTAGAGTATGTGCATGAATATCTAAACAGTTTCCATTCTTCAAAGGTACTAAATGTATAGGTGCGTATACTGTTTTCTAACCCCGCTGTCTGGACCATTATTTTCAAACTTACCTGCTCAGATGCATCTTGTACCTTACAATTCTGTTGTGTGTTTATTAGTTTCATATGAATTTAGGTATTCTTCCATGTTTAAAACAAACTATTATGCCCTTTGCTTCTATGTTCATTAATTAGTTGGCCTTGTTTTTTTGGATAAATAATAATTCTTTTTATTTTTATTCATTACATTTTCCTTTCTACCCGTCTGTTTTGGCTGCCATAGTTCGATCTGTTGCGTTGAAAATATGCAGTACGTATGTCGAGTCTTGTTATTGCAGATGTTTCTTACGTGTTCCTTGAATCAAATTTGCGCTGATCTGCCCGTTTGCCATAATCCAGGCGGATAATTGATATATTCCTGCGTTACTGTAACTGTATTATCTGTTTTGAAGGCTACATTTATGGTAGAGTGCTTAAACAGATTTCTGATTTTCCTGTGTAATTTCCACACCATGTAAATGTTACCCATTTCCGTTCATTAACTACTTTCTTCGTATGTCCCATTTTTTGCTGGTTTATTTTATTTGTTGTCTGCATATGTTTCTTGAATGTTTATGTTTTGCTATTACCATTACTTTATCCCGTGCTTTTGATCCGCTGTGATTCATTTTCATTGTTTTGTTTGTCTAGTCGTATACTATTCATCTTGTGTAGCCACCCGATAAATGATGTTGTCTTGCGTTTGTTAATACAATTTGAAAGGTAAGATTTGAGGTTTTCACAGCGGTGAGTATGAAGATTTCTGTCTTCTGGGTTGTGGCGCTGTGTAGTCTGGTCGATGTTAACCAATGTTTCAGAGGTCATACTCATCGCCCTGATGACGGAGGCAGTATGACCTCAGAAATGTTGGTAAACATCGACCATACTACACAGCGTAAAAACCCAGAAGACAGAAATCTTCACAATTTGAAAGATTTGCTATCACCGAGTCCATTTCAGTAGGATCTTTGTAAATATTTAGAATTAATGTGTACTGCACGTTAAGAATGTTTAAATACTGTGTGGTATCTGATTCTGTCCATCTTTATTTGGATGAAGTAACGTATTATGCTGTTTATTGAATTCACTTGCTGTTGATTTGGAATTGGTCTTCTTCTTCTTTAATCAAACATATCTTGTGTAGCAGATTATGTCTCCCTTTTCTATGGCATGAGTTCAATCTTAAAACCTTGCACATCGTGTAGTGTATGTGATTTCATTATTTATTCTTCTGTTTTGTATGAACATTTCAGACACAGTTCTCATTATTGGCAGTCTCGTTGTTACGTCCTCATTCGGTTTGAAGCATTTTACTCCTTACTTGAAATAATTTTGATTATTGTATGTTTTCCAAGAGCATTGTTATTTCTTACCTCATTATATGACGAAACTTATTCTTTGTTAGTGATATTGTAACCAATTTTATTGATTGTTTTACTGATGTGTTTCCACACAGATATTTAATGTCTAATATAAGAATTTCATATTCTGGAATGATTTTAAATTTCTTAAGGTTATGTGCCAGTTCCACTGAGATTATTACACATAAGAAACGAAATACAGGTTATAATAACACAATAATTAACTTGCCTGGTAGTACGTGCATTTGCGCTTGTAGTACCAGAGAAGAATTAAAATTGTATGGATGTGCACAGACACGTACTACCCGGAATTATAGGGATGGCGAGGTTAAAAGTGAAATTGAACTCCGAAAAGAATAGTTTAAAACAAGAACAGTCATTAGGGATCAGAATATAATTATCACTAAATTAGTAATTATAAGACTTGTATAATAACTTCATCCACTAATTAAGAAACTTATAAATTTAATTACTGCAACAAATAATAATGATCTATCTGATGGTAAATAAAATGAATTCGTAACATGAAGTCATGACTCAGCTGGTGAATAGCTGCAGTGCATTTATTCGTGTGCAAATAGCTCCAACAGCTGCATAAGAAGAGGCTTAAAAGAACGTATAAACTTTTATTTGCACAGGGTTTGCTATTTTTTTTTTATTGATCTGAAGGTGCATCTTAAATGTATATTCACTGTTTACACAATCTGTTAGACCTGCCAGTGATTGTATTTATTCCAGGAAGAAAGAAAGGTGTAAACGTTTCTTAATTGATAAGAGAAGCTGTACCTCCCAACCATCTTGATTTCCACTGCTGGAACTCAATTGTTACGTGCGCATGTAGTATTATGAGATGTTAGTGAACAGGACATTGCACTGTGAACTAAAAAAAAATGTTCGTACACAGGAAACAGCTTCTGTTTTGAAACATGTTGCTGTTTTATAATTTCTGAGACACAAGAGAGATACATTAACACAATATTAATAATAATTATATTCAGAATTTTTTTTAAATACATTGCACATTAAGATATGATCGCATTTCATGATCTCATGTACCATTATTTGCTCTAAAAGTTGTGTAGTTTGATCAGTTGATGAATTTCTAGTTCCTTTTTGGAAGCTATAGAATTAAGTAAGTTACTGTTAATGTGTCTCTCTTCCTTACAAAACAAGGCGTTTCATACTAAAACCACAGTAACGTATTTCATACATATTTTTCATATTTACAAATGAATTTCCAGTTTTTATAAGATTAATTAATACTGCCAGAATTGTGTATCAGTTATGCTGGGCATTGTGCAATTTGTGAGGTATATTTCATATCGAGTGTTCCTGTCTTGAGGCGACGCGTTTCCATTACGCTGGTGGCTCGAGTGGTTCAGTGTTCCTGTCTTGAGGCGACGCGTTTCAATTACGCTGGTGACTCGAGTGGTTCGGTGGTTGTCACGTGAGACTAGTTGGTATTCAAAGGGTGCCATTCAAACCTGATTGCTACCACTAATCTCTAAAATCAGAGAAAATAAATAATTTGTCAGTGTAATGTCAACTAATAACCTGAAGAAGGGAGTAGGGCTACCTTGTGAAACATTCTAAAAAAAATATACCTTGGACAGAGGATGATGTCCAACATAATTGTGATGTAACAAATCAACCACTGTCCAAAAAGCCTTTGGATAATCAATGGAATAACATGTTTTATACATATTTTTAAACTTTTTTTGATTATGTTAAAAGAAGTCTCCAGACTTTGATGGCAGTTTGTAGTTAATCATGTTTCCATTTTTGAGTGATGACAGGAAGGTTTATCAAGTTTTCAGAGAAACTGTCCATTTCCATCTTCAGGGCAGAAGGACTATACAGTGGTCTGGCAGCAAGATGTTAAAAGAAGTTTCTAGTTTATGTAAAATTCTTTTGATTACTGCATAGGTTTCAAATGCCCTTGGCTTGATGGTATTAAACAATTTGTATGTAAAGAAAATGAATTTTTAAATAAAAAGTTTTAGTCACTCTGTTGTTAAAATGTAGCGTGAGTGGACATAGAGAGCAGTGATCTCATGATTGTCAGAAGGCATCTGTAAAGTCTGCTCAATCCCAGATGTCTCACAACTTTCTCATATGCTTTGGCAAAACTTCATCACGATTTGTCCAAATGTAATGATGCTTACCCCATTCTGTGTGCTTAAGAACAAATGTGTCCAGTTATTCATGAATGAGGAAAACATTTTTAGAATGTATAAAATTTGTGTTCTGAATTATATATAGAAAATGCACGTTGATGTTATTCATTCTGTTCGTTAACCTTTATTGTCCATGTGCCACACTATCAAACATGTTCCAGCTGGAAGTCTCTTACCATAACGTTTATTTAGAGCCATTTTGTAGCAGTTACGACACTCATTTTTTTTTTTTCACTGCCCTGTACAGTATTCCAGTATGCTTTCGACTTCATTATCAACCCTGTGAAGGTTGTCTTTATCAAAATATCAAATTCCAGCCATATATTTGTCACATTATCACTTATTCAGAGTAGTTTCAGTGGCATCTGAATGTAAGCCAACTTATTTGTTGAAAAAAAAATCATATATGCCAGATTAAATTCAGAGTATTGATGGCACTTCCTGTCGTATAAGATGTCCACCTCGAGCTGGCTCATTATGTTACAATTAGAAGGTCTACCATGTTATTTTACTTGGGACAATGCAAATTGCTGTTTTACATTGATCACTCGTGCTTCTGGATGAGGGAAAGACAAAAGTGTCCGCACGTTTCGTCCCCACTCTGCGTGACATTTTGAATGAACAATTTCTGGGGCGCTGGATTTGCCGTGGTTCAACATCATCTACCGCATTATCAGGGGACTCGTGCCTGCGCACTGCTATCGCAGCAATGATGAGTTGCGCAGAGTTGTGGAAAGCGTTCACCACCATTACCACAGGTTCTTTGGTGCAGGTCGCACAGAATATAGCGGGGAATCAGGTTGATGATGCACAGTGGCTCTCACTACATGGCGACTTCTTGGCTAATCTGTACTAAAGATGGTGAAACGTCCTGCTGGATTGGTAAAGTACCTAGGTTTTATATTTACTAGATGATGGATAATATCCAAGAAATTTTTTATTCAATTGACTCTTCACCATCGTCAAGAAGTTTTAGATTTGATATACCTAGGTGTCATTCAGGATACTAAGCTGACTAAGCAGAATCGCAGAGAGACAAATTCAACCCACTATCCATGACTTGTTGAATTTGACTGATGAAAAATAGAACTTTCTCTATCTGTGACTTGGCTTGGAAAGACAGATTTTTTAATATCCTCTTACTTTTGTATGATAATGAGGAACGTGGGTATTTATTTAAGGTAAGATCAAGATTAATTTTCTATTGCTTTGGCACTGATGCAGGGTTTTATGATAAAATATTTTGTGATCTGCCCATGACCACATGGTGCTCCAGTCTTGTTACCATAATCAAGCATGTGGTAGTGTGTGGATATTTCCTTCAGTTCCTGCAACCATGGTTGAGGGTACAGTTCCAGTAACAGTTGCCTAATTCAACACTTTGTCAGCGTTATAATGTTTTTAAGTCTTATTAACATGCAATCAAAGTATTCCCCTGGTCTTTTGCCCTCTTCCATATTACCTTGATTGTTACAGTCTCTTTTTCCATTCAAAATGATAACATTACCTCTCAACTTTCTGTTCCCTAGTTTATGATTTACCTCTCATTTCTCTTTATGTGTTCAGTTATAGCCCAGTTTTCTGCAGTTTGTCATATTTGTTGTAAGTCCAATTTCTTAATGTACAACTATTTTTATATCGTTTGAAAACTTTAATTTCTTACACCCACGCGTTGAAGAGCGTGGATGTAATGTTGGGTCCAAAGAATCTTGTCTGAACTATAACAAAAGTCCATTCAAAAATGATTAAACCTTGTAATTCTTCCTTGAACATTTGTCTGGGCAATTCTTATATTATAAAAATATAACACGATTTTAATATCAGAAGTAATGTTTGAACAAGCTTCAAGTATGTGGATCACTTGTGCCAACCATTAACACTAAAATATAATTATGGTGTTTCATCGGTGCTCATTAGATAAGGCAAAATCCAAGCAGCAGCAGACTTCAATGGTGTTAGATGAAGTAGCTGTTTGTTTTGCTCAGAAAAACACCATAATGGTAGCGACTGCCTCAGTACACCGCATTCTGACAAGGGGGTTGTGTGTGGCTCTTTTTTTTCTTTTTGGCAAACCCCCATTTTTGCTTTGAACATTTATTTTATGTAACGTTGAGCAAGGGTATTAGCATATTTGCCCTGCAGCCCTCGCAGCTGATTTGCAATTATGTTCGCCCTACGCCGAGAATTAATTTTTTGTAATTTCACTGCAGCTTGTGAGCTGTAACGTTTTATTCTACACCGGAGTGAGCCGTCATTTTTCTTCTTTATCCATTGCATCTAATGGAGTATTTTGTTCAAAAATGGAATCATAAAACAACAATTAGAATTTTAATTTAAATTCCGTTGATATCTACTCATGTTTTTGTTGTTATTGTTAATTTTTCATAGCGTCCTGAGAAAGAAGAGGAACGGATAAAAATGTATTAAGGGTTTCAACTAGCATGGAACTTCGCTAACTGCATAGGAGCCCTTGATGGGAGACACATTAAAATAACACGCTAACTGCATAGGAGCCCTTGATGGGAAACACATTAAAATAACAGCCCCAGGTGATTGCGGTAGTCTGCATTAAATTTGCAAGGGATATCACAGCATTGCACTAATGGCCATAGTCGACGCCGAATTTAAGTTCATTTATGTTGACGTTGGTTAACCAGGTAGAATATCTGAAGCAGGTGTATTTGGAGGGGCTTAGTTGTATGAGAAATTAATAAGGAAGGATCTTCACGTCGCATATGAAATACCACTTCCGGGAACCTTTGCTTGTCAGAAAATCTAATGGAAGATCTTCACGGATTCCAATCAAAAGGGCTCACCAAAAATAATATGAAAATAATACATAACAATACTTAATTTTTAGTATATCTGATCATATGTGCCTTCATGTTCTCCGTACTTTTCATTACTTTCCAGAAACTTCAGCAACTGATACCCGTACCAGCTAGGGATGTAAATTTCATTAATACCTGCTCCACTTTAAACACATTTGTTAACTTTCAAATGTTCTCTTTGGGATTGGGTGCACAGGTTACTGAACTTTTATTTCATTTCAGCAAATGTCACTTCAAATTGTTTTGCTATTTCATCCAGTCTACCTTGATTGTTCTGTTTCTTGTATGAATGATCTTTTGTGTCCCAAAATGATGTTTTTTATTCCTTTATTAAATTCATTACATCCTTTGGCCACTCACTGATAGAACAAAGTACATCACGTCCAGGAAAATACACTTGGAAAAACTTGTAACCAGCCGGACCTTGTTTTGACATCAGTATGCTTACACTGCTTTCATTATTCTTGTTATCAAACTGTTTATGATTGTTTATTGGAGTTATGAGAAAGAATGGTGCATTGGCAAGCTGTGGTGAAGTCCATTCGAAGGAGTAAGTGATAACATTATTAGTGCGTCTCTTAAAGGAAGGAGACCAGGTTTAAGATTATGACACTCGTGCATTGTTTCTTGAAGGAGAGAGACCGAATTCAGATTGTAATCGAGTTTCTCTGTAAAAGAAACTACTAAATAAATACAGTAAAACCTCTCTAAGTTGGACACTTGGGGTTCCATGAAAATGTGTCCAAGATAGAGGGAAAGAAAAAATCGGAATGTGGTCTAATGACAATATAATCTATTTACTTACATACACTAACTACTGTAGGCTTACTTGAATTAAGAATTAATGACAATAGTATTAATAATAATCTTTTGAAGCCCACTCCCATGCATTGCATATTACACCCCAACCTCAATAACATTTTCTAAAGTTAATTCCACCAATTTTCACTTCCCCATCTCAAAAAGAAAAATTCCATTTCTGTTAACACAGTCTGAACTCAAATGCAAGCACAGTACTGATGGAGTTAAAACTGTGTCTTCTGTAGTCCAGTTAAGGGTTCAGCAAAAGAATAGTTAAACACTTGCAATACATTCCAATGATGGGTTCAATGTCCATAAGATAATCCTCCAGAATTCATCAATCAGAAATTCAAAATAACAAAATATGTAACCGAAAAAGTTTCCCTGAAAAGCATTGAAGCCAAGTGCATGAACCTGTCCAACTTACAACAAAAGGAGTGTTCAAGATATAGGGTATTGTGGATATGTAAAATTATAGGATATTCACCAGTTCCAATTAAAAATGTCCAATGGGGTGTCCAACTTGATGGGTTTTAATGTATACTGAATTTTTAAGTGCAGTTGTAACTTTATTCTACGTTTGACCCCCGTGAGCGACCCTGAGTTAGCTGGAACAAAACAGCGAGAGTGGACGGTTATAAATTACAATTAACTAATCGGGCGGCTACTAGAGGAAACTAACGCCTGCGCACTTTACCTACTCCTCAGATGTTCACAAAACCCACAAAGTCGATGGTGCACGTGGGATTAAGTCCGCGAACAGGTTTTTTTAACACAAAAAAGGAAACTGTTTAGTGACATATCTGGAGCCTCTGTACATTTATATTGTATCTGTATTGTCCGTCCTGGCACGGCAGAAGCCCACCATTATCTGCACAGTTGCAAAAGCCTAGGCTTCTATAAATCAAACCAAATATCTTTCAAAGCCTCAAATTGTGTTTTACGTCATATTCACACACCATACAAAGATTAGATCGCACTGATGCAAATTCTACCACCACGTTTTAGGTTAGGTAAATTACAAGCTTTACATCTTAATAAATTCCTTCGTTGTCTCGACAGACACGCTCGATGCAACTAAACTTTAAAACTATGCATAGCTATAATTGTACGATGGAAGTTCCTCATATATGAACATTTCCCTTCTGTTGTTACTAAATATTGCCTAGTATGTTGCGATACCTCCTTTGCATCCAAGAGGCAGTGACAGACCTGGATAACCTGCAGAGCACAGATGTAAATTGTCTTTAGTTATCCAGTGCTACCATACAACCAAGTATGCTTGGTTACTTGTCGTTTTAAGAACTCATTTCTGATATATGTAGGTCACTGTGAAACTCGAGTGTTGTAAGTATTCGTGTACTTCCCGAAATTTTTGTAGAACCAGTTTTTTTAAAAACCTTTGATTTTTGTTGAGTTAGTCACGTTTGTGATTTGAGTGGGGGTAATGGCATTTTAATGAAGAAATGGGGATATAGTGACATTAATGGTCTCCAAAAGTTTGTGGTGGACGCATATAGTTTTGAATGTGGATGTACCAAAACATACAGAAAGTTTCAGTCGTACATGGAAAACATTCACGTATTTTTGTGCACGTAAAGAAGAATGTTATTATTGACGTTTTGTCCAATTCTTATAAATGTATACACACATACGTGCATTTGAGTCAGCCCCTTTAATTTAAGAATTATTAATTAAAAATGTGACAGCTGTATTTCATAGCTACTTATATAGGTTACTACTAGAATATGCGTTTTATTTGCATGAAACAAAAATGCTATTCACTGTATCAAGCTTGAAACACTAACAAGAAAAATAATATCATGTCATCATTTTCATGTCCCAACACGATACTTTCCAAAGATGTATATGAATGATCACCAAATGCTTGGGAGAACTTGCATTCATCTGGTGACAATTTCTTTCATAAATTAAGGTCAGAGTTCAAGAGCAAATTGTTAATGTGTTTTAAAATAATATGAGTGGCATAAAAAATTAAACCCCAAATTAGTTGGTACTAAAATGAGTTTTCTGCCATAATTAAAGCTAGAGTTACAAGCATTTTAGTAATCCAGAATGTGGCAATTTCAGGAAAACCTCTGCATAAATTGTATACAGGAGGGTAACATTTCATTTGTTACTAGGGAGACCCAACAAATGATTTTAGAATCAGAGGTGGTCATGAAGATATTGCACCTAAAGTGTGTTAATCTGACATAACCCATTTTCCAACCTTTGCTCATATTGGACAGCAATACCATGTGCTTTATATTAAGGTCCAATGTATTTCTTTGCACGGAAATGATTGTGTTGAGAATTCTCAGGCACCCTTGGTTGCCAACGTTATCTTATTTCTTTTGATAAGGTGGTTGCCATATATATGTGGGAATCACCATGTACGGATTTTCGTTTTTGGTGCACAGTCATAACGGAATCCTCCATGATGATGTCATCATATAGCCAATTAGGTGCCATATATCCTATCCATGCAAAAAATATTGATGTCAGAATCGTTTTCAGTGGTGCCATTTACAAAGTTCAAACTTTGAATGGTTGTGAATGCACCAGAATTGTTTTGTTGTGCGTATATTTTATAACTTGTTTCTTTTGTCGTTATCTTGAAATGTTCTCGTCAATTATCATCATTATATTGTAATAGCAGGTATTATGATGGTGTGTTGCAGTGCAAGATGGACACAATCAAAATAGAACCTGCTTCGGATGAAGAGACAGACACAATATCTTCTGTGCATGACTTCCTACAAATTAATTTAAAAAGTGAATATTCTGTAGCAGTAGAAGCAGAAACAAATGAAATACAGGTATTAATTGCTTCAATTAGTAAGAAGTACCAACCCTAAGCTGAGCTGATTTTACACAGCATATTCTTTTTATTATAGATCCAATATACCAAATTTCACCACAGTTTTTAGACTTCTAGGGTCAATTCGTATGATGGTCTTTTATGGAATGTCTACTGATTAAACCAAAACTAATGAAGAATAACCATGTATATGGAATTAAAATCTGACCAGAAATACTATATGTATGTAACAGTTGATGTTTAGACTGGATCCTGCCGCTGACATGGCATGCTTCTCACGTCGATCCACCATTGCGGCCTTTTTTTAGTTTAACCTAACTTATTTTGTAGAAGAGTCTCAAGGTGATGATCCTCTGCTTCTAAGCATGCCTCACATAATGACAGTATTTGACTAGACACGTCATAGTTGCTGAACGGGTATAACAGAAATTTCATGCCTAGTATTTTATCTTAATCTTGGTGGTTAAATGCACATTTCCTCCTCCTCCTCCTAGTAGCATTGTTTCTGTTTCATATGCGTTGTTAGAAGAAAAGTGTCTAGTATTGTCCATCTTCCCACAGTCTTCTCTTTTTAATTTTTTTGTGAACCGTTCCCTTGTTCTTCTATTGTGTGGCTGATATGTTGTGTGGATCGATTTTCCTTAAATTTTAAATATAATACCTTATAATTCCTCCTATACAATTCTAATAAGAAGCACTGTCAGTGGTATGCTAATTAGTTCTGTGCTTTAGGATGTGTCATGGGATGTTTCCAAAGTCAAGAATGAGCTGAAGGAAGAGATGAGAACAGGGGAATTAGAAGTGTATCTTGACAGGTGAGTAGTCAGTAAATCACATTTGTTATTTATGTTGTTTCAGAATTAGTCCTGTTTTGTTTAAGTGGCAGTTTCTGATGCCCTGAATATTTTACAAACCTTGTTTGCGACAGGTAGACGTCTACATTAATGGTAGTGGACGAGTTCATTCAGAAGCACACGCGTTTCTCTACAGTCCTTCTCTTATTTAACTGATTGCAATAAACGTTACACAAGATGTAAAGTGTTTTCCTTCTACAATAGATGCTTGGGAATCAGAAGAATGTTTAATTTTCTTTTTGTTCTGCTTATAATTGTATTATGTTTGTGTATTTATTAATTAAAGTAAAATGTATTTTGAGTAGAATTTGTCCTCATAAATTACTTATAAACCTTTATTTGTCTTCTGCATAAATATTGTTTTACATTCTTTCTGATTGTAACAAATTCTAACGTGGCTGTTCTTCAACAAATTTTCTTAATTCACTCTTCAGATAAAAAACAATTTGATAATGTGGCCATCTGAAAGAAAATGCTTTTTCATTCCTTGTCTATGCAGTGTGGTATTTGAAAAGTTGATTGGCTCCGTCAGCGCAGATTTATGTTTGCAGTAATGAATATTAATGTCTTATGTTAGCAAGTGATAATATTTGGAGTAAATTTTTCCACTGTAATTTAATAATGTTCGGCACACATGTGATTTATTTTGGGGTTTTGCATGGAATTCAACAGTATTTTGAGGACTATGTTAACATTCAAATTTAGCATGCACATTTATTTCAGTAACAAATATTCCATTAGGATTCAGTAACTTATCCTCCGGTGCTGTACACGAGCTCCATCTGGCTTTGCTACTCAGATGTTGAAAGAAATGTAAAATATCCATATGTTTTATTGTCAGTGTTCTGTTGCAGTTCGGAGAAGATCACCACTAAATTGGAAGATTCTGTTGTACATGCTGATAGTGTAGCTACACATTATGGCAAGAGTGTTAACAATGAAGAAGAATATGTGGTAGGAATAGATCCCCCTAGAGAGAGCGTTTTCCTATCTGAAAAGCAAGGTGAAATTCTAAGACACATATCTGTTACAAAACCAGAAGTTCAGACTTATCAGTATGGGAAGAGAAATCGCATAAACCCAGATAATGAAGAAGAAATTCCTCACAAATGTGAGTTATGTGACAAGCGCTTTGTTCATATTGAAAACCTTGTTAGACATAAGATGCTTCACACAGGTGACACTCCATTCAAGTGTGAAATATGTAGTAAAATGTTTACACGCCAAGCTCATCTCGTTATTCATACTCGCACCCATACTGGGGATAAGCCTTTCAAATGTGAAATATGCAATAAAAGTTTTACTCAACCTGGACATCTTAAAGTTCACAATCGTACTCATACTGGAGATAAGCCATACAAATGTGAGGTGTGCAATAAACGTTTTACAAATAGTGGAGGGCTTACCGCCCACACTCGTACACACACTGGAGACAAACCTTTCAAATGTGAAATTTGCGGTAAGTGTTTTTCTCAACCAGGACATCTTGCAGTTCATACACGTATCCACACTGGGGATAAATCTTATAAATGTAAAATATGTGACAAAGGATTTACTCAAAACGGAGATCTTGTTGCACATGTCCGTACTCATACTGGGCAAAGACCATATACATGTGAGGTATGTCGAAGAGGTTTCACTCAACGTGCGCATCTTAGAACACACACTCGGACTCACACCGGAGATAAACCGTACAAATGTGAAATATGCAATAAAGATTTTACTTTACGAGGAGATCTTGTTGTTCACACTCGCAGACATAAAGGAGAGAAACCTTACAAATGTGAAGTGTGCGGTAAAACATTCACACAAGGTGACGAACTTGTGGTTCATAATCGTATACATACTGGAGAGAAACCGTTTAGATGTGCTGTGTGTAATAAAGGGTTTACACAACGTGGAATACTTGTTGGTCACACTCGCACTCATACTGGAATTAAACCTTATAAATGTGAAGTATGCAATAAAAGTTTTACTTTACGTGGACATCTTGTAGGTCACACACGAATCCATACTGGTGATAAACCGTATAAATGTGAATTTTGTGGTAAATGTTTCAGACAGTGTGGACAACTTGTGGTTCATACACGCACCCACACTGGCGAGAAACCTTTCAAATGTGAAGTATGTGGTAGAAGATTTACTCAACGAAAGGCTCTCGTGGTTCATAGTCGAACCCATCCTGGTGATTAGATATGCATAAATTAATTTTAAGGCAGAATTCTCTGCTCTGGGATTAAGGAGAAGTAGATTTTGCTGGACAAAAGTTGTGGAAAGATTGGCTTTAGTTTGGAGTGCGCAGAGCCTCTGTATACTTTGTAATTGTACATTGGAAGCATGTCTGGTAGATTAGCGATGAACAGGAGAATTTATTGTAAGATGATCAACTGTGTGGTAAAGTTAATAACTGATACAATTTTGACACAGCTGATCATCAGTAAATATACTGTGCTGTGTAAAGTCATACTTTGCATTGTTACGTATTATACTTTTGAATTGATAAGTTATTTTCATGTTTGTATTCAATTAACTACGTGCGACACTGAAAAATGTTTTAGGCAGAAACTCTTTGAACTTAAAGAGATATATAGGTACACATTATACTGTTACCTTTTTTAACACTGAGACTGTTTTTAGATACTTTGTAAACTGTTATTTTTAGCTCTGTGTTGAGGAGTCCAAGCAAATGCAATATATTTTCCTGGAATGCTGGATTTCTAGCCTACTTTTTTAAAGTATGTATGCTGCAGGTTTTTTAAAGCACTCGTGGTGCTTAAACGACATTCAGCTCTTAGGCTGGCAGTGTCGTGCATTCGCTTTACAAGAAAATTGTGTTGTAGATAATGAACATTAATTGGGATCTGTCTTGGAATGTGGTCACTCGTAAGACCAAGATGGTATGAGAAACTGAATCACAGGGAAATATGTTGAGTGTAAGTATATTGAATTTAATTATTTCAGGATCATGCCCAGCGGAGAACTTTACTGTCTGTGGCCTTGAAACCATAAGTAGTAGTATGAGAGGGATAGGCTGTCAGTGAACTCACTTCTCCTTAGTTATGTGTTATTATGTTATCTTTTTTTTAACTCGTGTTTGATCACAGTATGACGAGTCATTATAAGCAATCCCTGTAATTGTCATTTATTAGTGGAAGCAAAATGAAACTAAATGTATGTGAGATAAAACTGAACATATAAATGGAGTACCTTGGATGAAATTACAGAGTACTGCAAGAACAATCCATTTTATGCAAGTTTATTGTTGTCACAAGTGTGAGTATTATTGACCTTCAGATATGAAAGCTAGCTGTAAATATACAGAATAAGCAGTCACAGAAACCTGACAAGTATAGGTCCTCGGTTTCAGGATTGGTGATATGTTTACAGATACTTTATTGTATAGAATGTTCTGACGGCACAAAACAAGCTGCATAACATGAACATTGTGACTTGTAACTTTCTCCTTATATCAGATTAATATATGCTTCCATCGTGAAGGTTATCAGGCCTGACATGGGTGAAAGAGAAAAGGCAAAAACTACTTAAGCATTTATAAATTTTATATTGAGGTACTTACAGAGGTATTATCAAGATACATGATTTGAAGCTTTTGCAGTGACTAAACTCAATAAAATCTGAGGCAATCAACCACATAAATTGGTTACATGAAGAGACCAACATTTTGGGAACCATCTTTGTCCCTATTGTCAGGTTTCTGATGTGAATGGATACCAACCAAAAAGCTAACTAAGGGTGGAGTCCTGTACAAGTGCAGAACATCGTCCCTTGCTAGGTGACACCATTCCTGCATACGAAACGCGTTGCTGGAAATTGTAAACAGAGTCTTATAACTAAAATGGGAATTTGCTTATGCTAATGGGGTTCTGTCGTGGCAGGAGCCTCGACCATCCAAACTAGGGTCTATACATCCACATCCCAGCCAGAAAAAGTATTCATATGCTCAGATCTGTCGAGGACAATTTGAGTATGATGGTGCCCTGTGAATGTGACAAGGCATACGGTGGACAGACTGGCAGAACCAGGTGCAAGGAGCATATGAGATATATTTGCCCTGGCCAACCAGGCAAGTCTGCTGTGGTGAAACATGGCACTAAAACATGACACAAGATCAACTTCAACAACATCACAATACTAGAAAAAGTAGCAGTTTACATGGACCACCTCATTAAAGAAGCCATAGAGATCAACCTACAAGCCAATAACTTTAATAAGGATGGAAATTTCACCTTAAGTTGAGCATGGTATGCTGTGACGTACGTGCTCAAGTAGTCTGCTGAAAACACCATTAGGGAAGCAGGGCCACACAACACAAGCACTTGACTCTGCCCACCAGCTCTGATTGGCTAGGGTCCAGCCATGAATACCAGTCCTGGACAGTTGTGATATCCAATTAAAGAAGAACGTTGATGATACGGACAAAGATGGTGTCTGAAACGTTGTTCCATTCGTGTAACAAATTGATGTGGCCGTTTGCCCGAGAAGATTTTATTGGATATTTTGTAGGTCTGTAAGAAATCTTTGCTTTGTGTTGGAAATAATTACTTGTGTTGTAAAGCAGCAATATTTGAGATTGTATTTAAAGTTGTTGACATCACCGAATCTGTATTAGTGCAGCTTTTGAATGAAGTTATACAGAGTGTAGACAAATCATTGGCAACTTTAAATCTCAAATAAAGGACTTCTGAAGTGAGATACACATACAGGGCTTGTTTTATCTGTGAGGGTAACTCATGAAGTTTCACCAAAACCTTGTACACTATCAAGGTGGTAGAAGTTTTTCCCACATAAAATAATGAAACAGAATTTGATCCCTCTCCATGTGCAATTGAAGTTTTTCAGTATCAGTAGCATTTATGATTTTGTAATCATTGATGGTAGCCATGTAATCCATAAAAAAGTTACAGTGCGTTATGTCTGTTGACCTCGCCAGTCAAGAAATGATTCCTTGATGGCCAGTCCACCCATTCAGGACATGGTCATTAGAGAATTGCATACACGCAAGCTCCAATGCAGTGGTGCACCATCTTCTTGTTGGAACCCATGAGCCTGGAGTTCCTCTAATGGTGGATGTAGGCAGTACTCAAACGTCTGCGATTTTTGTATGCCGCTGTGATCGCAGCAAAAAGAGAAGGGCTGGGCTTGTGAATGTGTACCAGCCCACACAATACAATCACTTTTGGACTGTTTCTTTGTATATTGAGGTTCTAATTCCTAAATCTAACATTTTGTTTGTTATATTATTGAAAATAAATTGGTCAGTAGCTATAGCATGGAAATTTCAAATTTAACATGAGCTGACCTGTCATGTGGTTTGAGAGCATGCAGTGGTTACAAGTTGTAAGCATTCAGACAACCAATATCTTGCATTCTATATTTGTGTTATTATTCATGTAAAAGAACCTTACGAGCATGATAAGAGATGTTTTGTAAGCAAAATTCAGTGGCCATTTCTCACCCAAGTCTCTTGATTTGCTGCTAGATTGGGCTGGTCACTCACTACTCACAAATGCGCTCTTGAAAAGACCAAGAATCTTCCTAAGTGGGAAGGTCGTGGGCTGAAGCACCGTAGATGATGATTATATATAAAGGAACAGGGATTCTGAGAATTAAGCTCTGGGCAACATGTTTCATTACCTCAGGATTATCTTCAGGCCCTCTTACATACATTTCTTATCCTGAAGCAGAGTTATATGTTATATGTGTATTACTAGTTTTAACAATTAACTACAAGACCATAACTTGTAACTCATAATTTTAATTTGTAATTTGTAACTTAGTTAAATTTTTATAATTAGTAATTCTAGACAATGGCATGGCACATTTAACTCTGCTTCAAAATGATATAAATGTAAATATAGTATGTGTTGCAATAGCTTTGTTTCTTTTTATATTGAGACCAACTTTTATGTTAAACTCCATGTAATCTTGACTGTGGCATTTGTAGATGACAGGCCACAGTGTTTATGCATTTGCATGGACTAAGTTAAACACTTGTCATATACATTCTACATTTTCCTCTCATATGCATGGATAATTTACATATGTATTTGATGTCCTTGCTGGTGGCATCCAATGGAAGGTTATTCAAACGTGTCTGTAGGCCTATGTATCCAATCTAATTATGGACCACCTGATGTATTATGCCTCCTGCAGCAAAGCCATCATGACAACATGATAGTGATGCAATCCTATCACCATTTTTACGTGATGAAACTTTACGACTTTTTCTCACCAATGAAAGGACCCATGTGTGTCTCATTTTGCAGGTAATTTATTTGAAATTAAAGTTATGAAGATAATTTGTGTAAGTATCGATTTTTATATGCTTATAGCCTGTCTATATAGCAGTACATGACAGACTTTTCTTTGGGCTAGGATGCAGACAATTTTTAACCCTCTGGGTTCTATATTTAATGACTAATAAGAACGATTCAACATGCCACAAGTGAATGTAATAAGATATATATTTTTTAAAACAACATTTTGATGTGAAGAAACAAGTGAGCTGCCAACATTTTTACACTGTTATATTGTAATACTTGCAAAAAATTTTAGATATACATAAAATTACATTCAGTTTCTTATTACAAAGCTGGAAGGTTTCATTATGCCTAAGCAGCACATGGACACAGTGGCTTATGCACTGTTAATCTTTGCTGTAGTGCCTGACACTTTAGCTGTCATAACATTGGAAGAGTTCTGTTGCTAGTGCCAGTCAGATAGGAATGCATCATAACCATTCTAGACATACTGGTAAGCACAAAATACACTAAAGATTCTTGCCAAGAAGAAGACACAAGTGTCAAGTTCTTGACATTGAACTTACTAATTGAATCGTAACATTTCCAGTACACGATCAAATCGGTTTTCTAGAATTTTGCCTATGTCACTGTACACAAAATAAATTTACTGTGGTATAAATCAATTATTGATCATAAATTGCAGGTTCAATACATGATGTTAAATTAATAAACATTTCTTTGTCACTTGCTCAGATTGTACTTTGTCAGATGGCACTGGCTATGAATGGGGAGGCAAGGCCAAAACACATGTTTGTTTGAAAAAACCAACTTGCAGATAATGTCAATATGAAAAGTAATAAAGTAATACTGAAATGTATCCAAATTTCTGTAAGTTACAAATCTTGAGTGGTGACATCACAAATTTTGTAAGAAGTAGACAGAATTAAACTGACTCATAATCCATTTCCTTCAGGACAAATATAATATTTAAAATTAAAATCATATGTTAATTTATTTGTAAGTGGCACAGTCTGGATGTTGTATGTCTGTCAGTACGAGTGATTTGAAAGTTGGAAGTTTGAGAATGAGTGAGAGAGGTTAAGAATTGGCTTGCCAGTCCCATGAATCATTACAGGTTATGTGAGATTTGAGGTCCTCATGACAGTGAGGATGATATTCTGGATTGTGATGCGTAGATACCAACATTTACCAGAAGATGGAGACAATATGTTTCTTTGAGGCATTGATACCTAAAAATCTACACAGCATCACAACTCAGAACAATGTCATTTGAGGCCAGTTTATAAGTTGGATATCCAGGAGCTACACAAGACCAACAGTATGGCTGCCACTGTGGAAGAATGTCTCAATATTACTTTTAATGGTTCTGATTTATGTGAAGTTTAACTAGATATAACTTCAAAATTATAAAAATAAAATGACAATAAGCTCTTGGAAAATTTTAGTCTAATTCTGTATGCATTTACACATTTATTTCATTTGGTCACTATTCTTTAGTTCAAAACTATAATTATGTATAGTTAGCATAATGAAAGAAGTCACTAACTAGTTTCTCAAAATTAGTCAAGTAGTACAGCAGACTGATTACATTCACAAGCATGTGTAGAAGAAGTTGCTGATACATTTAAGTTTTTCCACAGAAAAAGAATTTTATATTTCATTAAGTTTTGTTTAGTTGCAGCTACAAGAAGAACTGTACAAAAAAACACTGCTGGACAAAATCGTGAAAGAGCCAAAGAAATAGTCCTGCTTATAAGATGCGCCATATTCAAATATTTGGGAAGGTTGCTAATAAATCAAATTTGTGTTAATGAAGAAATTTGGAGCAGAATAAATTCAGGGAATGCTTTCTGATTTGAGGATCACGTGTTTTCCTGGCTGCTATTTAAAAATATATATACAAAGTACATTTATACCCCGTGAGTAGTGGATCCCGAGATGTATGACGTTACATGTGCATCATGCTTTGTACTCTTTACCAAATATTGGGTGATCAAATCTAGGATGTGATGAGCATGGCATGTAAAACACGTATGGTAGATGACAAATGCTTGCAAAATGTTTCTTGGAAAGGCTGAAGTGAGGGGACCACTTGTAAGACTTAGGCATATATATTTTAAAATTGCCCTTATGGATAGTTGGGGGGTGGGGTGTGAATTGGGCACGGTAATAAATCTTCGCATTCTTTTAACGGCGAAGGATTTGTTGAATACGATTACTTGTTTGTTTCTCAAGAATGACACGGGCCAGTGGGTTGGTTCTATCACATAAGACAAGTTCACTGCAGAATCACGGCATTTTGGATTCACCGCAAACGTAAGTGTATCGTAAATATTATATTATGTCATTAAAGTAACTCGTGCGTGTTTCTAATTTACAAACATCTTGGAAAAAAGATGAGTCGTTCATTGTCATTGTCATTACTGTGAAGTTATCGCATGTTTGATAAACAAATAAGTAAAATTTAGAATAATTCTGTGCTTGTAAATCCTGCAGTAACCTGATTTTAGTGTCATCAGTTGCAGTAAAACGAGTCACCATGTGATAATGCTGGTAAAGAGATATCTAGAGACGTACTGGCTGCAATCCGTATTCAAGCTTACTCGACGTGTTGATTTATAAATGGTGATTAATGAGACCACTGTGCAAGTAATGGAAAATATACAAAATGATTTTCGTGGCGTAACTACATTTTACCATGCAGTGGCTTCTCGTGTATGTACAATCAGTATTTGTGTATTATTCATAAAAATTATATTAAAAATCACAATGAGTACCCACTAGAAAAAAAAATGTTAGAATGAAATATGAACAAAGTTACTCAGAACATGCACAAATTAAATTAGTTGTCCTGTAAGTTATTTTTGTAATCAATCAGTTAATAGCCACAGAAACTTTCCCACAACAACATAAATATTTAAAAGTGAGGCTTTGGTATAGAAAAGTAAAGACTCTTTCCTCTTTAACTACAAGCATGTTTCCAAAATATTTGAGAAAGTTATTTCTTAAACAAAAACATTATGCAGGAGAACAATTTGAATATAAGAAAGGTTTCTTAAAACATTTTAGGGCTTATAATGTTGGGTTTGGTGGATGAAGGAGCACAATGCAAGTTACTCCTCCATTCAGCCGATTTTGCTGCTTTTTGATATAATGAGAACTGAAAACCAAAATTTGCAAAGATGAGTAGAAGAAAAGGTAATGGTGAGATATTTTACCCAGAACTGTTATAGACTCATAGTTTAGAAATATCCTTTGCACTTGTCACACTTCAGCTCGATGGCCTGTTCTTGCAAGTGTCTGGAAGGATTTGAAAGGATTTTGCACTAGTTTCCAAACAGGATTATCCAAGGTAGAATTTGGAAAATACTGCATGAACTCTTCAGCAAGGCTGTCCAGATGAGACATAATTTTGTTCTTTTGAAGGTATTGCTGATCAGGATCTTCATTTTCACCTAGGAGTTTGTGGAGATGAGGGAATGATGAAAAGATTTCATCTTGATGTCAGTATTTCCAAAGCTAAATATTCTCCATGAAAGCTGTGATGGCGTTGTAGTGTGCAATGATGTTTGCATTTTTTCTGTGCAGCATCAAATTGAGGTTTGTGTGATGTTATATTGAGTTATCAGACCACAATTTTTTTATAAATTTTTCTGTCTTTCAGCACCAAGCACAATATTTGCAGCAGTCAAGTAAGCATAGTTTCACAAGTGTCTTTCACATTCTTTGAGCGGGCCCTATATAAGTCATCTAAACAGACCCCACCTCATACCCACTTTGAAAATGACAACTGCAGTGTTTGCCAAAATGTTGGCTAATATCAAACATTCAACACGGCTCACCCAAAAACTGAAGTTTTACATTGCGAAAACCTACGGACAAGTTTAGCAACAAACATTGAAAACTACCTCAGTAAACATTTGGATTAACAATTCTGACAAATATTAATGAAAGAGATTATTAAATGCAGCTAAGGAAATGTATTTTACAGTTGAATTTGACATTAAGAATTGATTTTTTTCTGGGTGGGCCCCAGAGCCGGTCTGGACGCAGAGTCTAGAGGAAAAATCCTCTGCCCCCGTCGGGGATCAAACCCCGGTCGTCCAGCCCGTAGCTAGTCACTATACTGACTGAGCTATCCCGGCTCATCTGAATACTCTGTATGATACACAAATACTATGCTGACTGACTAGGGAAGACCAAGTAATGATTTAGTGACTCATATTCCATGCATCTTCGAAGCTTTCCAAGAGTTTGAAATTTCTGCGTAGATGCAATGGACATACAATTCCAAAAGCTCCGGTGAACAGTGCCTGTTAGGTCAACCCAGCTTGGGTGCTTATTTCTTGCGGTCTGTATTGTCTTGCGTGTTTGTATCAACATATGTATATTACCTTTTATACAGCTCAATGTGAGTGTAATAAAAGTGCAACCATATTAAGAAATGGAGATGGTTCTATAGTAACTGATATTAATTATATTGTTTACAGGACAAAATGGAGGTAATAAAAATTAATCCTGATTAAAGTAACCTTTTAATATCACTGTTCTGTAGCACAATTTTGGGTAATTTGAGTAATATATTGTTTGCTTCATACAGGTATCAATGTTTTACAGCACAGCATGGAATTAATCAAAGTCGAACCTGATTTTGATACAGAAAGTTTGAATGGATCTTCCTTCCATGAAGATCAGGATGAGGATCCTCTACTGATAAATTCAGATGTAGTGAAGAAAGAAGTCAAAGTGAGTTTTAGTGCATGCCTTGTGTAGAGGAAGCAGGTGGTACAAATTTAGCCTCATCTTGGAAAATAGTATTAAATTTTGTTTTTATTGTCAACAGTAAATGTTACAGGTCTTGTATCTTTTGTCAGTATGTCAATATTAAATCAGATGTAGTTTTCTGTTTTGTTATTTTTTAATTCAGGAAGAAGAGTCGTGTGATGCTGCTACAATCAAGGAAGAGTTAACAGAAGAGGAAAGAATAGAAGAATGTTATGTGTGTTTTGACAGGTGAATATACAGTATTGTTAATATTTTATAGCATAGAAAGTCTTAGAATGTTAACCATAATCAGGTCAAAGGTGAGTAGTGGAGAGAAAGGGGAGAAATGTATGTAAATTTATTGTGTAATTAATATCCAGTATATATGAACGCAGCCACGGTGGTCTAGCGGTTAGAACGCTGGCCTTGTAATCCTGGGGTCTCGGGTTCGATTCCCGGCGGTGCCCGAATTTATAACTTGTGTTGGGCAAGGCCGTGGTCTAGGCAACACAGAGTTTTCCTCCGTGGCATCCCAACAATTACTCCATTCACACACAGAAGAAGGCAATGGCAAACCACTTCTGGATCATCTGCCAAGAACGTATATGAACAGGTCCCAGTCCGAGAAAAGGATGGAAGGATCCTGTTCATATGGACCTGTCGTCAGACAGAACACTAAATAAATAAATATATATGAACAGTTTTTCTAGTAAGTGATTAAGGGAAACAATTTTCTTTCAAATATATCGGAAGTCCGTGCAGACTGCATTAGCAACTGATATGTATCTAGCAGAAGGGCTGAAATTGAGCATGTACAACTCTACGAGATACTGAGTAGGAATTCCAAGACTGACAGCTTCCAGAAGGGAAGGGCACTATTTAAAACCATGGTAAACTTGCAATGCCCTCTCTTACGTAGGGCTAGGATTGTTAAATACTGTAAAGCATTAGAATAGGTGTAATGCACATGGGGGAGGAAACTATTATAGCAAAGGGCTGCAAACTTCTGCTGGATAAATTTCAGTTTGTTGGCATCAGTAGTCGCAATAGAATTTCAAACGACCGAGGCGTACTTGAGCTTTGGTCTAACTAAGATAACATTTAACATAGGCAGGCAAGAGAAAAGAGTGGAAAGGTTAAAGTGTGAACAAGACCCAACAGCTCAAAACTTAAAATATGTAGTCAGCTTGGTTTTGAAATCAAATATTAGAGTGAGTAAATATTCCCAGGTCTTTAATAATGTTCGTACATGTTACAGAGGACTGAAAAAGTTTATCGTCATAGATCAGTGTAGTGGCTTTCTTCAGAAGGAAATTACTTTGGTTTAACTAATATTGAGTTTTATGAAGTTAGCAGTGTACCAACCTTGTACAGGGTCAATGTCAAATAATAATAACTACAGTAACACTAATTTTATTGTTGATTCCGCTGTATCATTCAGTGAATTCAGAATTTTGTATAGTCCAAATGTATCTCTGCTTACACAGTGGACAGTATCGTGCCTTGTGTAGATAATGGAGACTGTTATTAGAACGAATTTTGGGTTTCAGCGAAAGTACAGATTTTTGCCTTTTTTGCCCCCCTCAGCGTGGAGCATTCAGCCAATTACCGATGGCATTCTGTTATTACTGCAGACACGCCATCAGCCTATGGTAACACACGTGCTGCCAGTCTTCAGCCACGAGGTATCTGCAGAGAGAGTGAAACTAAGTACTGTGATACAGGATCACATGTTAAGGAAAGTATTCTGAAAGGAAAACTGAAACATAATTCAAAAAGGAAGGAAGGAATTTTTTATAAATGTAAAATATGTAACAAGTCAATCTCTAGAAAAGAAAATCTAGTGGCACACAATCGCATCCACACAGGAGAAAAACCGTTTAGATGTGAACTGTGCAATAAAAGTTTCATACGACGAGATGGGCTCGTGCGTCATACTCGAATTCACACCGGAGATAAACCTTTCGGTTGTAAAGTGTGCAATAAAAGTTTCATACAGCGTGGAGATCTCGTAGTTCATACCCGAACCCACACTGGTGAAAAACCTTTCAAATGTAAAGTTTGCAGTAAAAGATTTAAACAAAGTGCAGTGCTTGCTTCTCACTCTCGTATTCATACAGGAGATAAGTGTTTCAAGTGCGATGTTTGCAATAAGGAGTTCACACAACACGGAGGTCTTGTGCGCCACACTCGCAGCCATTCTGGGGACAAGCCGTTTAGTTGTGAAGTGTGCAATAAGAGGTTCACAATGCGTGGAGATCTTGTGCGCCATACCAGGATCCATGCTAGAGATAAAATGTACACCTATGAAATGTGTGATGTAAGTTTCACACAGTGTGATAACCTTGAGCTCGAGAATTCTAATCACATTGGAGATAATTCTTTCAGCTCTTGAATTCACAATAAATATTTGTGTGCTATGATCTTGCTGTCATACTTGTACCCGCATTGCACCTTTTGTCCGTGAAGTGTGCACTGAAGGTGATATTGTGTAAGTATCTTGTGCCCCAAATATAAACACACACAATTTTTTACCGTCGTATGAATCTGATAGAATTTTTTACAAACTAAAATTGCCCAATGTGTTTTACAGAAATTTTCCTTTGTCACATATGTGGAAACTATTAAAAGTATTACAATTGATACGCAATATACATACACCGGAACATAATCAGAATATGATAACATTAATATTTCTACCCCATATGAAATTTTGTAAGTCTTGAAAGGCAGTGATGATGGTTATATGACTTTTAAATCCTATATTGCAGTCGTGTCTGGCAAAGTTTTATCTTGTTTTTTATATTTATATTTGGTCTGTAAATATAACATAGTAAAGTTATTTGTAATGCCCAGGTTTTGCCTCCTTATTATGTTCAGTAACACTACAATTAGACACTTAGTGTCAGGGAGTTGTAATTTGTAAAAAGTTTATTATATGGTGGTTTACGTTGAAGTTAACGTGTGACATATGCTCTTCTTCATACCAGAGACAGATTTTTCTGTGTTGACTGATGCCGTATAGTTTCACAATGGTTTGAGAGGTGAACAAATATTCCTGGATAAAGAATATGTCAAACATCTTTTTTTCATGCAATCTGGAGAAAAGCCGTTTGAATTGTGAAATATGCAATATGATTTTCGAATAATGTGGGTATCGTGTTCAATGAATCTCTTTTAGTAGATGTGACCTGTGCCTTGAATAACAGCAAAATACGTGTCTGCACTTACCCGGAGTTGGTACCAAATCCTGCGAACCCACAGAGGACATACATGATTTAAATTAAAGTATATAGTTTCAGTTTCCTTGATTTGATTCAGTGATTCTTCACAATAATAAATGTAATGTGCATAATACAACTTCATGAAATAAAGATATTTGATGTGTCAAATGTTCTTTATACCCAACTGTTTTAGACCTTTTGATGTCAACCTGAGTACATATTCTGGTTTTGCAGACTGTTAATTTTGGCCATATATACATATATATGTAGTCGGACATTGGTTAGCATTTATTATACCTTATATATATAGTCGGACATCGGTTAGCATTTATTATACCCTTTTTTGGTTCAGCATTACTCATGTCTCTCTTAATAATATCTTATGGTGTTTAAAAATATTAAATTATTGTGTATGATATGTTGATGCTGGTCTTCTGGGTTGTAACACTGTACTTGTAGGTTGATCCCATTGTTTTTAGGAACTTATCATATGTTAATATTCTATGTCCTCCAGTTACATCCTGTCTGTTAGATCAGTATACTCTCCTCAGAGCTATATTATCTTTTTCTGATCATGAGAAATTATATTTCTCACCATGTAGAATAACAGAAGAAGTCATACTTTTTAAATAAAGCAGGTCACCAAATACAACATACTGAAGAGCATTAATGCAGTTTGTGCTTATGTATTGCCTTCTTGTTATAGAAATGAAACCTGAATCATTCTTTAACACAATAGTGAAAGTAGGAATGTTTTACCAAATATTTCATCCCGCTATGATCTGCACATAACCTCTTCAGAAATAGTATTGGTGTAATTATGAATTTTGTACTGTTTGGCCCCAAGACAAGAGGGGGAAGGATTCAGAAAAGGGAGAATTGTTAGAATTGTAAGCTAGAAACTGAATATGGACCAATTGCAGTCTATGTTATAATAAACAGTGATGACACAAAAATTAGTTTGGTAAGATTGATGTAACCATACAAGTACAAAAATATGTATCCTAATTATAATATGGAATATTACCCTTGGTATCAATGTTTGTGTGCTGTGTTTGCGAGGCGAACCTACTGTGGTTTACGCTTAACAGATGGCACTGCAATATCATTCAGTTATGCAAAATGGTGGAGGGTCGATTGAATTTTGAGCAACACAAAATTAATTTTGAAGTGGTACTGGAAATTCAAGAATGCTCTTGTAGTGAAAAGATGACGGACACTTGAATTTGAAACCATGCCTCCAGCATAACTAACAATTACAAGAGTCAGGTAAATTTGAGACATTTGGTGCTCTGAACAATGTGTGTAAGCAATAATCTGGTGGACTGCACACATCCAGTGAGAACATTTCTGCAGCAGTTCACATGATTGCCAAATAAATCTTTAAGGTGGTTTGCTAATGAGAAGGAGATTTCCAAGACAAGAGTACACCAGATTCTCAAAACAGCTCAATTTAAATGCAATAGGCCACAATTATCTCCTTCCCTATCCATTCATAATATCCTGTCGTTCAACAACATAATCGAACGTAACGATATAATAGTTGGCACTACTGTTTTGTTTTATGGAGGTACAGGGTTAGAATTACGACATGGGTGGTTTTGTTTACTTCGTCGAAACATTTGCCGGAAAAGTAGTTCCTTAAAAGGAGCCATTGCAGGGTCTTATATAGGACTGTTATAGCTGAATGGCTTTCTGAATCCGAACACGTTTGGTTCATCTAGCAATTCGGATGACAGAATATGAAATACTGTACATATCATAACGTTCGTCAGTTACGGTCAGTTCTACTCTTTTGTCAAGACAGTACTGAGCACCAGCGCTGATTCAATTCTTTTAAATAAGACATGGACTCCGACCGAAATCGTAGAAGTGGAAATCCTTTATTACACCCCACGGAGTGACAGAGTGTAGTTAAATCGTTAAATAAATTAAGACTTGAATTTTGTACAGGACATTTATTTATGCACGTGGTTGGCGTGCTGACCGCGCGTTTGTACTTCCGCCCGTTGGGTGTGCGAGGGGAGAGGAGACGCTGTGAGGCAAGGTTGCTCAGTAGCACAGAAGATAAGAACCATCAGTGCATGGCTTGACGCGGAGCAGGAAAGTAGTGTAGGTGGCTGTTGTTTCTCTGATACGTCGTGTTAAGTGCGGCTGTTGTTTCTTTAGTACGTAGTGTTAAGTGTGAAGTTCTGTTATTTTAACATTTGCAACAAGGTGAAAAATAAATAATCGTTTATTTTTTATAACCTAACATCAGTGCATGTTGTTAAGCCGTACAAGAGCTTTAAAAAGGGAACATTTTATTTAGTGATTTAACAGTGTTCATTTGTTGTTTTCTGCATACTGCAGAAATTGTGCAGTAGACGTCGAGACATCGATCGGCCTGGGGGTAGAATCGGGTTAGCTGCATGGTAAAGAAAGTGACGGCGCTTTGTGGAAACCATGTGTGCGATAAATTGAGTAATTTCATGTGCTTTTTATATTTCACGGAAATTTTATTTTGGAAATAATGCACAACGGTGTCAGACAGATTACGATATTCAGGTGTTTTGATAAATTAACGTTTTTTTGAACTTGAATTGCAGCATCAGATGTTGAACATCTGTTCCATACTTCAAAAAAATAGCTCCATGTTCTTAAGACAAGTCACGAACCTAAGGGTGGCCACACACTCTACGGCTTACCTTAAGGCCTTCCTTCCAAGTTAAATCGAAGAATTCTGAAACGTTCTAAGTGGGTCAGAAGTTGGTTAGATGGATCAAAACATTATCACATAAATTTGTTGAATGAAATTCGATTAGAGCCGATGGACTGGCATAAATACCTGCGAATGGATGAGGACACATATTTGGAACTGTTTAACTTAGTTAAACTACGAGGATTTGAAGTTCTCGGTGGCTGGTTGAGATGACTAAATGCTACAAGCCTTGCCTTTACCCACTGCCCACTCACGTTACGACTTGTAAACATCCAGTAAACCTCGAGGCAAAAACTCAAGCGACTGCAGATTTACCGGAGGCTCGGTTTCCTCTCAAATTCACCACACCGGAAGGCTTAAGTCTCTGAAGGAAAACCTTCCGGTAAGCCGGAGCGTGTGTGGCCACTGATATAAATTAATGACATGCACGTGCGTTGTCGTACCATACGCACAGCAAAGTTTACGGGCCTGCCTGACATCTGGTGCTGTGGTACCAACTGATGACACAAAATGCAAAGATAGTAGTAAGAAAAAGACTGCTCCTACGGCGAGGGTTTGTAGAATACAGTAGGGATCATAGTCAGGTAAACGGTCTGCGAGTTCCCCCACTCTCCTAGTATACGTAAATCGAGGCATCTGCCCCACTCTGTAGCGTCACACAGCGCCAGACTTTGAAACCTTATTGTAAAATGCAAGTTTTCGAAACGACTGTGTCAGATACAGGTGAAATCCTGAAATAATATGTAACCCTACAATGAAATGTGCACATTTGAATACAATTTATATTAAAATGTACTGAAGTAATTTGTCGATTATGAGTAAGTACTGTTGCTGATAACAAAAACTGTCTGTTTTTTAAAATTAATGCACTTGAGTCCAAAGTGAGAATTATTTTTGGCTCAAGGGAACAAAAAGGTTGGACCAATATGTTTTATAGGATTACGTGTTGCATTCAGTGGAAGGTCCTAAAATTTAAATATGCAGCTGAATGCGAGAACAAGAGAAAAAATTTAAAACGGTAACAAATTCGGGGGGCCTCTGCATTCCACCAGACCATAGGTTGTGTACACCAGTGTTATTCAACCTGGGGTACGCGAAGACATCTTAGGTGGTATGTGAAATTTAAATAAATATATATTATTTTATGATAAACACTGAATAATCAGTAATGCAATTTATTTAATTTATTTTAGATGTAGATTATATACTATGTATAACTTGAATTATACACCAACAACTTTGGGGGTACAAAGTTGAAGAGAAATTATGTCTGGGGGTACACGAACATAAAAGGTTGAATACCACTGGTGTACACAAATAAGAGTAATATAATTTACTAAAATATCTATGGCATGATTTGCAATAAACTGTTTGTACACAAGAATTTAATTAAGTTTTATGCAGAGTTGGTCGATAAAACAGTATAAATATTAGAGTGGAGTAATTATTAGATATTTAACACGCGCAATTGAATAAAACTGCTGGAATATACAGACCCCTGTATAGCTTGGAGAAAATGTGGATATCGTTCAATAAATAATTACTATATTAACATTCGCTGAACAAGAAGTGGACAGACTTGACTGGTGGGGCACATTATATACATTCACTCATTAACGGGACCGATTTATACAGCGATACAATAACAGCTTTCATTACGTTCCTTACGTCACAATTCCACGAACGTAATATATATACAGGGTAAGTTATTTTATTTTACATACTTGGGAAATACATTTTCAGACCACAAAAATGATACAGATATCAAATTATAGAAATGTAATTAGACGAACGGTGTTATTTTGGCAAACAAGACAGTTGATACGAAATTGCGTTTACACAATATTACCTCAAAATCAGCACTCAGTTACAGCAGTGAAATATGGCGTGTTCTGTTATGGGTCTTAAGGAAAAATCACGCCAGGGTAAGATCACGCAGGTTTTTTCGTTCACGAGCCGTGAAACAACGAGTAAAAAACACGTCAACCCACAATTATCGACTTTTACATACGACGAACAGAGTGAGAATTATTTATTAACGGGGAAACACGACAGTTTATTACAAATTCATCTTCTGGAACTCAGGACAGTTACCCAGAAACAGAATTTGCCTTAGCGCCATTTTCCCCTAGTGCTTACTATCCGAACTACAGAAAATATCTTTGCCGGGATTCGAAGAAAGGAACCATATTTCTCTCGCCCATGGTGGCGTCAACAGAGCCCGGACCCCTAAAAATCATATTAAAAATTAATCAAATATAATAAAAACCTTACATTTTAAAGTAAAGGCAAATGAAATCGCGATTATTCTTAAATTTATTTCCTTGTAGGGAACACATTTAATATTAATCGTTGACTTTTTAAAGGAAAAACGGAATGTAACCAAATTATAACTTAAGAGTTATTCGATTTGTATTATTTTCAACTACTAAATTTATTATTATTTAGTGTTCTGTCTGACGACACGTATGAACAGGATCCTTCCCTCCTTTTCTCGGCCTGGGACCTGTTCATATACGTTCTTGGCAGATGATCGAGAAGTGGTTTGCCATTGCCTTCTTCTGTGTGTGAATGGAGTAATTGTTGGGATGGCACGGAGGAAAACTCCGTGTTGCCTAGACCACGGCCTTGCCCAACACAAGTTATAAATTCGAACCCGAGACCCCAGGATTACAAGGCCAGCGTTCTAACCGCTAGACCACCGTGGCGGTCACGACAATGGTCAGCTTTTATATGAACACATCCGCGTGTCTAACAATGTAAGAAAATGTTTTTGGAATGTATAAATCACACCTCTAACAAAATTGGCATAACAATTACAATTGTTACGTCATAGTTTTGTTTGACATTGTTGTATTTCAATCGCCTTTCGTTACTGTGGAAACAAATGGGCTCGGAATCGCTTGTCAGCTTTTCACGCACGTACCTGACTATTCTATGAACTCTCGCCATGTAAACGTAGCATAAGAGTACGTTGCAAGTTTCTTTATTCGGTATAACTTGAACTGTTGCAGAAAACATCAAGATGACGGTGACTTATACGGGCGAAGTAGCGACGTGCAGAGGATTTGGGTGTTTCCTGAAATTACTGCTTCGGTAAGTAAAATATACAAATCGAAGTACTGGTTGTCGTTTAAGCTTCATGATTTATACCTTTTGTGAATAACGTAGATTCATTTGAGATTCGAGTAAGTGCTTCTAACTTCGCGTAGTGGCCATTGTTTGAACTAGGTTGGCGAAAATACGTATGAATAAGATTTCCTGTTTAATATTCTAATCAGGTATCGTCTTAACAGTACGCTTACTTAAACACGAAACTCAAGAAACACCACTGAATTAAGGTAATCTAGAAACACGAGTTCTTGCAGAAATTCTTCCGCGAATAGATTAGAGTTAAAAAGCCTTGAATAAACACTGAAAATGTAGGATTTGAGGTTTCCACAATTTAGATGTTTTTTTTAAATACGAGCTCCATAAAAAAAAGACTTCTAAATTCCAAAATCCCAGGCATTACAAAACTCACAAAATTAAAAGTCTTAAAACAATTTAACGTTAGCATCATTTAAAAATTTAGAAACTTACCGAATGTACGTAATTTCAAAACACATTTAAAATTTTCGAAATTTGAAAATACAAAATTGAAATAAATTATAAGTTTCGTATTCGGAAGTTTCGAGATTCAGAATTTAAATTTCAACATTTATCATAACCTAAACTATCTTAACCACAACTAAATAAACCTAACCTACCATAATATTACGTAACGCAACCTAACTTAACATGTCGTAATGTAACCTGATGCATCCTAACCGAAACTAGGTTCTATTAACCTAACCTAACCTAAAACAACCCAACCCAACCTAACCTACCCTAATATTACGTAACGCAACCTAACCTAACCTAACCCTTCGAAGAACAATAAGATAACGGACGGACAGGCAAGACCGACCAGCCTTCTCACTGACTTCGTGCAAATAACGAATAATATTAATAATTATTCAATTCAATTTAATTAATTTATTAAAGTGCTTAACAACAGCCAAAAAGGCCAATGACAGCCAAGCACTAACAATACAAAAACAAACAAACAATAAACTAAATATATAAATGTACAATATTAATTTATTGCAAAATAATTAATAAGTAAATGAGCTAATAATAATAATAACAATAAAACATATGTAATTGATTATTATTTATTTATTATTTAATTCTATCACATCACTACGCTCCAATATAATTTAATGTATTTTACTCGTTAACAAATGTCCCCGGACTCTGTGTGCGTTTCAGACGAACAGCAATTTCAGATTCTCATTCGAATACTTGGCCTCCATTTTCAATTTCTCTTTGTGTGATGTTGGACGCCCTCTGGGTTGTTGCGCCGTGTAGCCTGGTAGAAGTTTACTGACGTTTCGGAGGTCCTTGCTGCCTCCATCATCAGGGCGATGGGAAAAGTCACTTAGATTGTCTTAAATTTGAGTGGATTTACGTAAATAATTGAATTTATTGAAAGGCGAAGAAAATCCACACGTGGATAAATACAAAAAAGGTTGGAATTGTATGCTTACGTCACGTTTAGGTTTGGGGCAAAATGTAATTTACTTTGTTTTTTGGTTACCATAAATTTCGTAATTTCGCAACTTTAAGGTTATTTTTTCTGACATCGTAGCGATGAGGTTTCATTGGCTTACAATTTCTGTTACCTTGCAGAATTCTGTTAAAAAATACACGACTCGAAAGGCGTATTGCGTAATGGAATACTCTGGAGTTTTCATGCATAATATCTGTTCATTAACTTCTACGTATTTATTATCGAATTGCAGTCCAATTTAACTGATTTCCGCCACGAGTATTGTCTTTGTAATGCACGAAAATGTATTTTAGAAATGTTCTTTTTGCTCTAGTGATTAATTTGTTTATCTAAAGCTGTTTGTCGAGAGAACAGCGTAGTTTCTGTTAGAGGTCCTTGACTTCTCTCTGTACGTACTACAGAGCAATCAATACACGAAATGGATAACCGGAGTTTTTCGTCGAAACGTTTTTAACCCTTTCAATATATATAAAAAAAGTATTTATAAAATAACTTTAATTTCTAGCTTCCAAATCACTCCTTCTATATGTCTTCTTTGGGTTAGTGAACCTGTAATAATGTAATGGAATGCGACATAGCTCTGTGGTAGCGTACTGGGTTCGTGCGTGGGTGGTTATGAGATCGATTCCAAGCTCAGTAAATATATTTTTTCACGTTGTACAAAAAAATTACTGGCCAATGTTAATATCTTCTCGAATACGTATATTTTACCATCCGTCATTCATTTTACGACACTGTATCAAATGGCGATGCTGACGTTCCCATCTCAACAGGATCGGTCTTAAGTCCTAAACCGGAAGTGATGTAAGAGTACTTCCGTTAATAGTAATTTACATAAATTCTCGTATGTGGACTCTTTATATTCCACTAATTACAGCTATTTGAATAAATATACAAAAAATATATATATATTATTTAAATCTTGTCCGTCTAATCACAATAAAGTCTTATTAAATATTAAAATATTACAATAATTAACATTTAAATATTTAAAATATTAAATGATGTTCTTTATCGAAATATTCGATTTATGTTAGACCATCATTAAATCTTAAGAGAAACATGAATTAATATTATACTTTTCCGAGACGTGTTAGTACAGTCCACGGCAAGAATAAGGTGGATATTCTTTACAGTCTTCATATTTTGGTGTTTATTTCCAGTTACTGTTGTTAAGGGTAGCACACTGAAATTTTGTTACGTGCTCTGAGTGTGTGCGAATATAACATATGTATTGAAACATATGCCATTCCGTCGAACCTAGTAACACGTCTCGGAAAGTGATTACATTAATTAATATTTTCATCAAATTACTCGGTCAGTATACGTTTGGCATAAGAAATCATAATTGATGAAAGGTAAAAAGTAAAGTTTGTCTCGCTATGCGCCATGTAGGCGCTTGGGGGGAGTGGAGGTATAGCTCCTCTCTTCCTTGACCTCGGCACTAGATGGGGGTGAGTGGTCAGCATCACGCCCCGGCCGGCTTTACCCCCGGGAAAGGACCCCGGTACCCATTGTAGAGGAGGCTGGGTGGGCCCCAGAGCCGGTCTGGACGCAGAGGCTAGAGGAAAAATCCTCTGCCCCCGTCGGGGATCGAACCCCGGTCGTCCAGCCCTTAGCTAGTCACTATACTGACAAATAAAATAATTCTATGAATTATTGGAATCATGACACTTGCTGTGCGCTTAAGTCACTGAAGGTTTCGTACTTAGGAAATGTGAAGTGTTTGAGTTTTTCGCGGTGTTCGTGCGGAATGACTGGGGGATCCTCGAGTTGGAATCTGTATGGGGTCCCCGCCCAGCTCAGAGGTTCGGAATACATGAGGAATTCTCAGCGATAAAATCCATCGCCCGTGCAGACTGGCGCCAGGCACATCGGCTTGCAAATGTCTGTTCACATTCGGAGGGGTGGAATTATGGAGATTGCACCATAATTTCCTGTGCTTTTTATGCATCTTTTTTCACAGATCATTAGAGGATAGCGATATTTTTAATCTCACGAATATTCTGAATAAAATACCGATTTTTGTGACTGCGCGCTGTGAGAAGTCGTGGGGGTGTCGAGTTGCTTTGAGTGAAGCAGACAAGATTGAAGGGCAGAGGAGAGTTTTACAGTCATCTAATCTGCTTAATGTCCTTTGCCAGATATCACTATTCATCTTGTCGTTTCTTTCAATCAAAGACTGACTCCACCGAGTAGAGTCCTTTTACAGAAGCAGATCGCCTCTCAGCTCGTCAAGGAACCCGATGACTGATTATGATATCGGCGTACTCCACCGCCAGTCTGTACCCTGAGTCTGTTGAACCCAGTCCACCGTCTCGTATCTCATTTCTTTTAAGACCTGTTCTACTATCATCTACATCTAGGTCTCCCATTGATGTCTTCCCTTCCAGTCTTTTATCTGAAATTATATTTGCATTTTTCATCCTGTCCATCTCATCATCCTCATCTTGATTGCCGTGTAATATTTGATGACAATTTTAAATTGTGAATTTTCCCATTATGTAATTGGTCTGAATGTTCACCCAGTAAATGTGGTTGGCCTCGGTATTCGTTGGCTTTTTTCCTTAAGGCTTCGACCGGGATGTTCTTTTGTTAAATCTTATGTGGTACCGCCTGATTCGACTTCTAATGGTTAAGTGAAGTGTTTTCTTCGCGGTACGGTCTGGATTCGTAAATAATATTCAGACGATCTTCGGCTTCAAAGGGTTAACCAGCTGATTTTCGTAATGGTTAGGTGTAGTGTTTTCTTCGCGGTACGGACTGAATTCATAAATAATATTCAGACGATCTACTGCTTCAAAGGGTTAATTACAGAGTGTAACTACAATAAACAGACAACTGGTACATTGCCTGGAGTCTTGGAATTCGCGAATACCCGTTTCAGTCAGTGGGACCTGTCAAAAGTATTGTTAAATCTGATAACATTCGTCTCTTTTCTGATTTAAGACACTTTTCCAACGGCTTCTGAGAAGGATTGTTATGAATTATGAACCGGGAAGACTGTGGTGCTGGTACAATAGCAATTTTTCTGGAGAGATCCGTGAAAGTCACGGAAAAATTCGTTCAGAATTGCTGGCCCGCGGACTTTGAGTGGGTGACCGGGACTCTCGAATTGGGGAAAGACGGAGGTTTTGCAGGGTTGAAGGTGCGTGTGCACTCAGACTTGCCGTTGGGAGGAATGTGGCCCTAAACTTAACCGACTCATTAACTTACACGAATGAGGTATTTGACTTAGCGAACTTCACGTCGAAGTGGTTAACGTCACACCAGATGTTTCCTGTTCTAATGTCGACCCTCAGAGAGACTCCCCTGATGGAAGGTTCTCGTGGTTTCTGTTGGAGATTTCGTGGACCTAGTCACGGCCGATTCCTTCCAGACTGTTCGTAGTCATCGTTCATTGCACGCTGGCTGACCCAAGAATCGAGTGCCATGCTTTCATCCACACCGACAGATATGATAACATATGTCCGCAACGTCGGTATCTGAACGAGTACAGACGGCTTTACCACTCAAAAGACCAACATCGACATCTTCATTGTGATATTATGACTTTTGACGACGTCTTCCCAGAAAATGAAGGCGTTAGGTTCATCGAAAATGTTGATAATCCGGTACAGTATTACACGGCGTCATAATTCAAAGTGTTAATCCAAATTTTCACCGCCTTGAAATTTCCATCTACGAAAATATCTGACTATCTGGCTTTGATTTCTATACGCGTGGTGTAATAATTTTGGTTCACATCAATTCGGTGTGTTAGCCACTTCATTTTTAAGCCAAGATCGAATTTAATATTTGTGTCTAAAACTTTTCAAAGTGCGCAAAATGAGTTGTATACGTACAAGTTTTGCGTCGTATTGAGATTTTATATTTCTTATTTGGAAGAATTTTCATTACGGTCAATATTAAATACAATCAATGGAAAAGTAATTTATGATTTTACAGACTGAGATATTCATGGAGGTTGGAAATGAGTAGCGTAATAATATTTCTTAATTAATCGATTGACAAAGATGGAAAAAATCGACGATTCAAAAAATAAATCGACCAATCCCAACAGCACGTGAAACTCAATGTGGGATGTTAGTCTTGACTTCTTATCTCAATTTTTTTTTCAAGAAATCAGAACACACACAAATAGAGGCACTGCCTGATATTTATCACTGCAAGTTTTATCACACTCAACAGCAAATATCATTTTTATTTATTTATTTCGAGTTTTGACTCAACGTTCTTCATTAAACTCGATTGCTCACATCGATAATCGTTGCACTGCACTGACGTCATTAACCAGAAGTTAATTTCAGTTCTTACTTCGAAGAAAGCTGTGTCATTTCTATTATTCTAGTACTAGGATGAGTTTGTGAGAGTTGTTCAAGGAAGTGACAGATGATTCTTCTCAGAATAATACGAACACCAAAAAATACTCACCGTGGAGAAACACATTCAGTGAGCGGTAAAGGATTTGGTACATCGCTGTACTAAAGTAGTTGACAATACGTGTTTTCTGATGTCAGATGAGTGTTTTTAATGATTGCGGGGGGGTACATTTTACGAAAACTGTACGCGGGCAGCACAAAACTTACCTTCTACATCTATGGTATCCCAGTGCTGTGTTTCCGCTGAGAGTTTCCCAATAAACTAGCTGAGATAATTATATTTTTCAATGAAAGCTTACCACGAAATTCATTAGTTAATTAGTTTGTTGGGTACTTCGTCATTTAGTTAGATGATTACTTTATTTGTTCGTTCATAAATTCGTCAGTTCATCCTAAGTCAAGTGTTTACATAACATGAAATGCAGATGACTTGACAGTAATGAACAGATTTGAGCTATGATGGGGATGGAGGCTGTTTGGTTGTATGAAGATCGCGTTACTGTCGTCATCGCCAGGCGATGAAACAGTCGAGCATCTGTCAGCTGAAGGTTGGAAAAGACGACTGAAGGCAAATTAAGCCAATCAGGCAGCGAGCTCCAATGAGATCGGTGGAACAGAGGTCGCCGTTGTTCGCCTTTGTCAGAATGGAAATTCGCTGGCGCACGTTACAAATTACAGTTGCCAAATTGGCAAGACGTCACTGGAAAATGTGGGCACTTTAAGCTTTGGAAAAATTTTGTTTTTTGTACATTTTAGATTGAGCGCTGAACCTTAGGGGGATGTCTTCTTGATTGGATTGGGAATGAACATTAAAATATATAAGTGGAAAGTGACCATATTTGGAACCCAATGATCGAATTTTGGGCACATTATAGAATTCAGAAGAATTGGGTTTCTTTTTCACATGACACTCAAATGAAATCGTGTTTTGTTATGAAGTCCTTTTCACTGTCAGTACACGCGAAGACAAGATTTCATCGGATGAAATGTCACATAACTCGAACTTTCTTCAACTGAACTTACAGCTTCGCGTGAGTTTATTCCCTGAACATTGCCCTCTCTGCTTTGGTTACATTTTCTGAAACATTTCACCCCGCAATAAGAATATATTCAGCAAGATTATGCCAAATATCGGCATCCATATGCCCATATTTGGTACGATGTACTCCTTTGAATTTATGTTGACAGAAACCTTTCAGATAAGAACTAGTAAGACAGAGTAGCATCAAGAGGTACACATAGTTACCACGGATGATATGTATATATAGCAACATTTTTCATTGACGTTTCATAGTCATTATACCATTGAAAATAAAATAAACTCAGGACATTCCGTGTTTTATTCCATTAATTTATTCAAAAAACAATCCAGATGTAAGAGTGACCTTCTACTTCCATTTATGTCACCCTCCATGGACAAGTGTTTATTTACAATACCGTAGTTGCATGGATCGTGCACGTGGTGGTACGGAGCGCAGTACTGTGCCGTCCAAAGAAAAGTTAACAGGTGATTTCTTGAAGTTCAATTTGTGTTTTTCAACAGAATGGATAATTTTGCTTTATTATTATTATTTAGTGTTCTGTCTGAGGACAGGTTCATATGAACAGGATCCTTCCATCCTTTTCTCGGACTGGGACCTGTTCATATACGTTCTTGGCAGATGATCCAGAAGTGGTTTGCCATTGCCTTCTTCTGTGTGTATGGAGTAATGAGTAATTGTTGGGATGCCACGGAGATTTTTTTTTTTTAGTGTTCTGTCTGACGACAGGTACGTATGAACAGGATCCTTCCCTCCTTTTCTCGGCCTGGGACCTGTTCATATACGTTCTTGGCAGATGATCCAGAAGTGGTTTGCCATTGCCTTCTTCTGTGTGTGAATGGAGTAATTGTTGGGATGCCCCGGAGGAAAACTCCGTGTTGCCTAGACCACGGCCTTGCCCAACACAAGTTATAAATTCGGGCACCGCCCGGAATCGAACCCGAGACCCCCAGGATTACAAGGCCAGCGTTCTAACCGCTAGACCACCGTGGCTCTTAGAAGGACTGTACAGAGGCATAAATGAATTTGAGAAAGGATATAAGCCCCAGGCTAATTTGGAAATTTACCTGCAGATTCAATTTTTAATAGGTGGAAAATTTTTATTTAACCAGACGGGACTGGTGATGATGTTACATACGTCAGCATTTGCGAATCTAAAGCAGGTGTTGAAAATGACACAGTGGCACAGTTGACGGCGGTGAGTAAGTGACTGGTAAGCGGCCAACAGAATTGCTGTTGTGTAATGCATCTTTTTGGGAACATTCTGTATTTTGCCCTGACGTCGGATGTTGTGGTTGAGCCAAAGGCGACGACCGAGGACGCAATTTACTTCGGAGCAGAGGCTTCCGTTTGAATGGGACACCCTTTTCCCATTATGCAGTACATCCCCATAGGAAATGCCAGTTCACACAAAGTTTAATACTGCTGAGTTTTCGACGTTCGGCGACTGTACCTTTAATTCAGTGCAAGGTTGAACTACTGAACAATAGAAATGCTGAATCAGATCTTCGAATAATCTTGAATCGCATCTGCAGTACGACAATCGATAAGTGTATATAACTAACTAACTAAATAGCAGACAGAGCTCTTTGATTCAGTGAGTCGTGCCGTGCAATTGTTCTTAAGTGGTACCACTTCGTGACCTGCAATTTACATTTTACCTCACTCAGTGTCGTCCCACGCGATGTTCCCGTCAGATTACTCAACTGTACAGGACCTTTGCAAGTCTGAACATCGATCTTCGATAAACACTTGAATAGGCCGATAAAGTAACCCACGCCTGGTGAGATTTCAGGTGAATATGAAGATGACCGTCTTCTGGAATACTTCGCCGCGTAGTCTGTTAGAAATTTGCTGATATTTAACACGTACTTGCTGCCTCCATCATCAGGTCGATGATGGAGTCAGCAAGTACCCCTGAAATATCGATAAACTTCTACCAGGTTTCACCCCGTAACCCAAAAAATCTGTACTTCTCCCCCGGTATTGTCAGGGTGATTAAGTCGAGAAGAATGAGATGGGC